TTTCCCGATCTTTGAGGATGACTGGGATTTTGACGGGATTATCCACGCCAACAGGCTTGTCCCACCAGAAGGACCATGTCATGGCGTAGGTAGCCAGATATGCGAGGGCGATTATTTGAACTAGGAGTAATTCCGTAAGGCCACGGAGAATTACCGTAGCCAGACATTCTGTTAGGAACCAGGTTACTTGAAGAGTTGCGATTGCAGACAGTATGGGTTCAGCTGTCAAGGGGTAGGAGTAGGAAGGCGAGGCTAGGTGGATATGAATTAGAGAAACGATTGGTTCGATTTCAATGGAGTCTGTGAATGTCGACTCTGTGTTCTGGCTGAGGCCGTAGAGTTGTGAAAGGAGAGGAGGAGTGACCACGAAGAAGCGGTCGGCTCTCGTGGGACGACGCGAAGCAAGGGTGAAGCCACCCATTTGCAAGAAGTGGGCATCCTTAAGGGTCCATTTCTTCTCTACGAGATCGTGGCCGAGAAAATCAGTATATAAAGTAACGTAAATGATCTCCAGACTCACCCTTGAACCTTTCCTTTAATTTGTTTGCCCCAACCCATTGTCTAACAGCCCAATAAAGCATCATTTCTGGCACCAACAGGGCGAGAAACAGCAGCTTCAGTCTCCGCCGCAGCCGCTTCCAACGCCCTTCGCGAGGCGATGGTACGTTCGGACGTATAGTTATCCAAGCAACGGAGACGACTGTGAACAGACATCCCCACAGAGTTTGTGATAGGGTGGTCCTTGATATCTGCGACTGGTTTGATGTCAAATCGAAGGCCGTGGGCTGACCGACCTCGCCGACGTCGTCACTCTGCAGGCTGCGGAGAAGGAGTGGTGTGGCATGGCCTCCCGGACTGAGAAACAGGTAGAGGATAATGAGAGAGAGCATCTTCGCTCCTCGTCACTGCCAGTTGCGACTCGTCTGTTGCGTCAATCCGAAGCTTTGGCTTTGGCGAAGTCGACAGTCGATATCCCTTCTGCTGCCACAGTGATTATGTCGTGAAAAGTAGGTCGTCCTTGGGCATAAAGGTGCAAAGAAGAGAGGAGGGTAGAAGGCTGTATTGTCCGTCGTATGCGCGTTGTAGTAAAAGCTGTCCATGTTACCGTAAGATCTGAGCTCATTTCATGTCGGCGGTGCCTGCTGTTGCCAACAGACAGCGCCGACGATGACAGCAGGCCGAAAGGGGCTGTGGCGGTAAACCCTTGTTTGTGTTAGCCTTGCAATACAAACAGACCCGTTAGCGCTCATAAATCCAAGGAAATGCCAGGCCTATTGAGGCATATATGACTTGGAATATGACATTCTGTATGTTGCAGCTGAGAAAAAAAATGGAGATTCAAGCTCCGGAATATTTGAATGAATTTCCGTTGAATTGCCTGTGTACAAATAAAGGCAGCCAAATGACCATCATTGTTCGTCCGAATGCGGAACCGAGGTTGAAACCGCCACCATTTGGACTTTTTACATCCAAGTTCCATTGGCGTCGCGTACCCCAGCACTTTCCTCCATTCTCTCATCTTCTGTAAGTCTTCTGGACCATCCTGAACCTTGGTAAACCTCAGTGATACTCAAATTATCTTTAGTTTTCCAAGCCACCTGTATCTTGAGCGATATCGATATCCATTTACCAACTGCTGGGACAGTTTACCCCTTGAATACGACTAACCTCTATGGGCCAAAAGTCCTCAAAACCAAAAGGTGGTCCATGGCCTCCATACGCTCCGCCCCCGTTCCCAACTGGAGCATACGGATATCAGCCATTTATACCACCAGGATATGGTCCTCCACCCGGATTCCCTCAGCCCATGCAGCAGCCGTTTATACCACCAATGCCAGGTCAGCCACCTCAATCAAATATTGCATGGCTGCCACAAGATGTACAGCAGCAGCAGCAAAAGAGGAAGGGAACGAAGAAGGGGAGGGCACAGTCTGAACAGTTCGCGGGAGGATTCAGAGGGGAGGCTCCATTTCCACGTATGTTAATTTGTATTCCTCGTTACCTCGCAATCTGACCTTTCCATAGCTCAAATGCCCCAACCTGTAATACCCGATAATGCGCCAGTCATTCCCAACCACGCGCCAGTCATCCCAAGGTCTTCGCGCAGATATCGACGTAGGCCGGCTCCACTCAACGCGGATATTGATCGCCAGAACACGCCATTCGGTCGACCACCCAGTGATTCTGAGGGAACATCTTCAGATGAAGACGAGGATGATGAGCATCCGAACAGGAGAAGGAGACGGACTCGACGGCGTCGAGCTCGCTCGGTCGACTATCCTCCAATCACAGGTCGTATCGATGACGTCCTGCAGCCGCCATCTCCTACACCTCACAGTGCTTATGGGCCTGGAGAGAGACCTTTCTTCAACCACCGAAAGAACCCACTTCCCGCACCTCCGCGAGACTTGTACGAAATGACACCGTATAAATCGCTGCTTTCTCTTCCGCAAACAACGGCCCTCTTGACCGCAACCTACAACGTGCCCAACACAGGTGCCATCGTGCCCCCTCCCGTCGCACCTGGACTCGTTCCTCAACCATCCACCAAAAAGAAGAAGGGGGGGCTTCTCAGGGCCTTTTCTTCTAGGCGGAAGAAGGAAGAACCTGTTCAACCCGTCGCTGGACCTTCAGCACCACAAGTGCAATTCGTACCTGTGTTTGTGCCGGCAGACCAAAGGCCGGGTCAGACGCAAGCGCACCAAGTAGACTCTTCGGCTGCTTCTCAGCGGAGAGCATCTGTGCACGAGCCTCAGCGCCAAGATTTGTCTGCATTCACATCTGGCGGGCAGCCCGTTGGTATTAATGGTTCGGCGTCAAATGCGGAGAGCACTCTCCCTCTTCTGTTCAACCAGCAGGACACCAAGTACGCGCCCTTCATGAACCATTCACCCCATCGCGTCTTGTACCGAGGGGAAGCTTACCCCACGGCCACGCACCTCCACGAGGCCATCAAGTACATCGATCAACATCCCGATATCGCGGCACGCATCAGGAGCTGCGAAGATGTTATGGATGTATATCCCTTGTCCGCGGAGTTCACGCCCTACCAAAGAGCAGATTGGGGAGCGGTGTTTTTGGAGCAGATGGAGAGTGTGCTGATGCTCAAGTTTAGCCAGCACCCGAACTTGAGGACGTTGTTGCTGGATACGGATAAGAGGCCGTTGATCTACGCGGACGTGTTGGATTCGTTCTGGGGCGAAGGTCCGGATGGGACCGGGCAGAATGAGCTGGGAAAGGTCCTGACCAAGGTTAGGGCGAGGCTGAGGGAGGAAATGAGAGTGCCTGGCTAGGCGTTTGATACAATTTTTTTTCTCAATACACATCTTTGCGATATCCACCTATTCGTTTTCACTTCTACATGTCATGTTTACTATGCATTTCCTTCTTGCGTTTTTGCGACATACCACTTAGACACACCGCGATACCTACTCTCCACCTACCACATTCGCATTCTACTTTACTATCTGTACTACTTCTTGATCATTCTGTTGCTGTATCGGGATCCGGCCCTATGATATCAACTGCTCACTTTTATGTGCTATTTACTTACTTACTGTACTTCGGGTTACACACCACTTATCATGTTCACTCACGTTCTTCCAATGGCTTACGACTATCATATAGATACAACCCTGTATTCATTCGGTCTTTCGATGAAACAACTTTATGCCCCATAGCATCTTGTAGTTAGATAATGACCACCGACGTACCTGTCTTCGCCCAAGGTAACAAACGATAAAATTGTGCAGTTCTCACAGGTTCGAACGTGAAACAAGCTGGAGCGTCGTGGAACGCACTGAGGGCTATATTTACATGGCCGTGTGGCGAAATGGCATCGCGTCTGACTACGAATCAGGAGATTGTAGGTTCGACCCCTACCTCGGTCAAGATCATCTTTTTGCCTACTTGGTGTGCCTCTTGGACTTTTTTTTTATGTCTGCACCGACGTTCCATCCAGAAGATAGCACTTACCGATGTGGAGAGAGACACATTGTTCCTACCAGCGCTTTCCAAGACAACTCGGTTCAAAGGTGATAGACGGGCCGGATGTTCATGGATAACATACTAATGTTCCGCTGCAAAGTTCGAGCTCATCCTGTCGAAAAGAAGTGATAGCCGTTGATGAGATGTGCGTCGTGACTTAATTTTGTGAAGGTATATCAGCCCTTGGGCCTTTACTTGTCACTTTCTAAATAAAATAACAATTGGACACAATCGAGCAGCGCTCTCTCGTGAGAATCTGCTGGATGATTTATGGGTCACCGTGGGTGTAATATTTCCCGTGCAGGAGAGAGACAATACTACCCGCGTAGTTGAAGGACAGCCCCGAACGTAGCTCAAAGGAAGCGTCGCAAATTAGCGCCCGGGGTTAGTCTTCTGGTGTCCTCGGCCAGGGACCCGCCTCCAATCGAACTCACCACTCGGATGTTTTGCATATGGATTTTATGGCACGCGATTGGGCCCCAAGTCCTGCACCCGACCCCTTCCCAAAAGCATCAAGGTTTCGGTCATGATCAATAGCCATTCATTCAATTCGCCAACTTGCATCCGACTTACCGCCAAGATCCAGGATGATTACGTGTGTCAGTAGACCAATGATTTTCATGGGTCTAACTCGAGTGGGTGGTAAAGTACGCGAAGATTTATTCGGCTTCTCCATAAGTGCCTCAGCAAGTGAGGGCTTCCTTCCGGTGTTAAGAATTGTTGGCATTTTGACGTTTTGTGGCCTCGCGCCTCCGAGTAAGCTTTTTCTACGTCAAGCATATTCCTTCTTTCACGAGGGTAGGGTAGCTTTCAAAACTCATATGATCTAAAACCAGGGTAGGTCGATTTTGACTCGAGTAATTCCGTTTGCGTTGTATCAAAGTCTCGAGAAAAAGTCGAACAATATAGAAACAAAAAATGTGTCCTTGTTAGGCTTTTTAAGGCTTCCTCGTAGCAACCCAAGGCTGTCCCATGGGAATGGAACAGGTAACGGATTACTGGAGAAAGGCACTTGACCGAGGTAGGGGTCGAACCTACAATCTCCTGATTCGTAGTCAGACGCGATGCCATTTCGCCACACGGCCGATATTATATGCTGATCCGGAGGTCCCTCGGGCCTGAGCCAAGCATGAGCGCTCCTGCAAACATTACAGCTGTCTTGACGATGTCTTTTTAACCACTACCATGTGCTGCTACCAATTTTTGCCCTCCCAGCTTGAGTACAAAGAATAACCGAGGTTTATCGACGCAAAGTATTGCGCCAACGATTTCTCTGATGGAAGCTGCTAGAGAGCCCAGTAATCGAATATAGAAATGATGGCATGGATGCTCCGAGGGCATGCTTCTGACATGTGTCCGCCAACAGTGGACGTTGCCACTCACTCTTTGGTCTTACTGCTAGGTCGAGGAAGTTGCTGTTGCACATTGAACGGTGAGGAACGAGTTTCTGTATGGTTGCGGGCACTCATGTGAACCATGTAGACTGTAGTGCATGCTTGCATAGGAGCTGGATGCTAGTCAACGCCAATTTATCCTTTGAGCCACCGAAGACTCAGAAAGCTTATAACCAACACTCTGTTAAGACCAAAGTAACGCCTCTTGAGCGTAGTGCCACCCCTGTGGAAAGCAGATGTCGCTTTTTGTAGTCCTCGCATACGCAATCTCAAGCTCATCGTCGACGCAAGCGACACCTGTTCCAAGGGACTCAAGTGTACACGGGTTTGTCGATGAACCATTGCTTTCGCTTTCACCAGGATACCCGCACCTCGATTTATTCTTAACCCGGACAATCCTCACCTCCCTATTTACGATTCTCGGGTGCCTCTGGGTGTCGGTTCATCCAAACGCGCCTTCACCCCACGACTCGACCTGGAGTAAGCTATTAGGGAGGATAGAGCTGGTGCTATGGGCTTTGGTGGTGCCAGAACTGGTCGTTTGCTGGTCAGTCCGGCAATGGATAGGTGCTAGGACTCTCAAAGAACGATATCGAGGTGCGTGCACTTTCCCTTTCTTTGAGTGGTAACTAATGGCTTCGGTAGCTTTCGGCTGGACAATGGCTCACGCGCACTTTCTCCAAATGGGCGGGTATACTTTGGTCAGACCATGGCCCTCTGCGGCAGACGGGACCGTCCTCAAGAAGAGTGCTGCATCCAATCCCCCAGCAACAAGGCTCACAACGATCGATCCTGTTTTCGACCCAGCTTTCGTTCCATCACAAGTTATCTCTCCTTCCCTGCTCGACAAGCTCCTAGCAATTCCTGAAGCGAGAAACCATATAGTGCGAATCGTTACCCCGCCTCTTCACCACATTCGGGCCCACTCTTCGTCGGATATTCTCGTCTCTTCATTCGCGGTCCTGCAAATTATCTGGTACATCGCCCAAACCATCGCAAAAGCAGCCGTGACGCGTCTCGAGGCGAATATCCATGCCCGAGTTCTCAGACTCGAAATTATCACGATTGCCTATATTGTCATGAGCCTGATGATGTACGTGCTGTGGTGGGACAAGCCTATGGATGTAAGGGTCTTGAGGGCAGTCGATGTGACTATCATGGGGGATGAAATGGTCAAAGAGCAGTGGAGGGTCATTGGGAACTTCCGCACACCGACTGGACCGGACGAAAAAGAGGAGATGGTAGGAGATGGCAGGGATGAGGTCGAGGAGATGTCTATTCCGCGGGTTGAGGAGCAAAACGCGGATACCGTCGGAGAAGATCCTCTTGACGAGAGCTTCCAAACAACTCTAAACGATACCATGGATTTCGAGACGCAATCCCAACTTGAAACAATGCCTGCAAAAGGCGCTTCGTCTCCACTTCGGCCCATTTCACCTTTGTCAAGATCTCCCTCAATACCCAAGCCAGTGCATGATCGCCAATTCGCCTCAGGCTCAACGAGTCGATTATCGACATCAACAGATCCACAAGATTCAGAAGGCCGGCAGGTTGAGCCATCGCCCATCACAGAGAGGCCCTCGAACTCACTCAAGTCTTTGTCCCTCAAAACCTCCCAGCTATCATTTGAATCAAGAATCAAGAAATCCTCGTCCGTTCCCATGTTCTCCCGTCCATCATCTCCATCTCCCTCATTCCTTACTGCAACGAATATCCAGCATAACGAAATTCAAGAGGTTCCTCGTAGCAGGTCACCTTCCGCCGATCGAATACTAAATTCAGCGTTTTTCGAACACCCCTCAGGACAGGTGAATCAACGGCATGCTGCTTCCCTCGATGCCCTGCCACTTCCACCTGCTGGAGGCGGCTCATCATCTGTGCTCTTCGTACCATCGCTTCCGATGTCACGGTCAGCCCCACCCGTCGCTCGTCACAGACACGAAGATGCGTCATGTCATCGACCATCATTCAGTGCCGACCTGGGGTTCCAAGAGCGTCGAAGGCGACGCGGTGGATGGACAGGCGAAACATCCACCAACCAGACGCGGTCGCCCTCGAGAAATACGGGCACGACCAGCGTCCCCGGTTTCTCCGCCGAGAGTACAGTGTTCGAAACGATCTGGGACTCTGTCCGCAAAAGCTACTTTGCAAAGTGGTTTGGGATTGATTGGTTTCTACGAAGGTGCGGGGACATCATGTTGGGCGAGTGGGGCAAGAAGGGTCATACAAGCGCTGTTCACGAACAGGACAGGAGGACAGGGAAGTTGTGGATGCCCCCGATGCAACTGGTTTTGCTCGTGGGCAATGATGTCAACTGGGAGTATGGAGGGGTGCATGGGCCGTTTGGAGATACGAAAGTACAGTGGGATCAGCGTGTGGAAAAGATGAGGAAGAAGGTTAGGAAGCTGAGAGACAGGATCCCGACGTTTTATGCGATGGCGAGTGCCAATGTACATGATGATCGGTTCATCAAGATCTTCGCGGGAGGGTTGGCGGTGTTGTTTGGTGCGCTGCATGTTGCTGGCTGGAACCTCTCTTGGGAGCTGCCCTTGGCATTATCACTGCCGGACTCGGGGTCATCGCCAACACGGACGGTGTTCACCATTCTATGGCGGGTGTCGGCGTTGACGTGCGTCGTCGCTCCTATATTTGCCTCATTTGCTTTGCTCAGGCTTTCAGAGGAGCATGATGGGCCGTCAGAGATGGGCATCCATTATATGATTTTGGAGATGATGGTTTTCCCAGTTACGCTGTTGTACATCCCTGCGAGGTTGCTTTTGGTGGTTCTATCTTTTGCTGAGCTTGTGAGGATTGGGGAGAAGTGGCATGGTGTGATGGAACTGGGTGGACCCTTGATCGGTGAATGGGGCGAGATTGGGCCGTTAAGATGGACTAGGCTTATTCCTCATCTTCAGTGACGAGAATGATGTTCTTTGGCTCCTTGAGACTCCCGTTTGCTTCGATTGTATTACTATTGTGGCCCTTGTTCGCGTTCCAGCTTTCTCCTTATTCGCATGTTTGTACATCATTATAGCTCTTCTGTATCATAGAATCTGGCAGCGTGTATTTAGACTGTTCCCGAGTCTGCTGAGCCTCAACGTCTGTAGTAGTTATCGATTATCGGTTTTACCTGAGGTGGCCCTGGTACGTACTTTTCAACTCCGGTGTGGAAACGTTAGATGCAGTCAAAGAACAAAAGGTTCGTACTTGCTATGACAAGAAGTAACACACAACTAAATTGATAGACAGACGGCATTCATTTCAACAATGAAATCAGCCCCTCCCACCCGAATCGAACCCAGAGCCTCCCGAAGATCATATTTCCAGCGCCTCCCAAAGTCAAGACCTTCAAATTGGAAACAACTGCGGACTCTTTTCATCATCTGAGAGTCATTTATGTCCATCATGTACGTACATGCCTGGAAGCCTGTGCAGACGCGACCGTTCACCCTTTTGTCCTAAGTGGTGACGGAAGCCTTTCAACACCCCGGGCTGCAACAGTAATACAGATTCTAATCAATCACGTAGGGCGGTACCGCGGTACTATGTACATACATACTTGGACCTGTGAGGCTGTGACTGACTGGTACTGCGGCGAGGTTCCGCTCACGCGGCATTAAAAACTCGTCGAGGGAATCTATCTACGCAGCACAGTACATACTAACGATCTAACGCCAGTGGACGCGACTTGAGTCCTATGTACTTGAGTACTGAGTACTGGCTCACTTGAAGCGCTCGAAGTCTGATCAGAAGTGGAACTGGGAGGCGATCATCGGACTTTAGCTTACTGATGTAACTAGCGCCTGCCAAGTTCTCTTGCTCTGCAGTTGTCATTGAACGCGTCTTCTGCGGTAAACGTGACTGTATTTCTCAGCTGATTATGCCGATGAATGCGTAGTGCACACGGCTGCAACCGGCCGCAAGTATCGCGTCACAACAATGAGACAGCGACCTTCCGTCGGCGCTTATAGTTATCTCGGGCTGTGCGGGATTTGGAAGATATAAAAGATTGTCCGCGCAAAGAAAGCAAGGCACAAATCATTCCCCCTACTCGTCGATTTAACCTACACTTCGCAACTTCCAAGACATAGGAATACTATCTAGTCGCGAATATGGCCGACATTTCCAACCTTGTTAACAGTGTAAAGGGTGATGTGGTCACAGAAGACCAGCCCTCTTACCCTGCTGCCATCGCCAGATGGGCTAAAAACGCCGAACGCAAGGCAAAGGTTGTTGTCTTTGTCAAGAGTGCAGAGGATGTCGCGGCATCCATCGCGTACGCCAAAGAAAACAAACTGCCCTTTGCCATCCGTGGTGGAGGACACAACGCTGCATCAGCCTCTTCCGTAACTGGAGGCCTGGTTGTAGATCTTTCTCGTTACCTGAACACAGTCCGAATTGATGCTGACGCTAAACTCGGATATGTGGGTGGAGGTGCTTTGTGGAGAGATGTCGACGCCGAGGCCATTAAATTTGGTCTTGCCGGAGTCGGTGGAACCGTCAACCATGTAAGGCAATTGCTAGGATATCTGCTCGAACTACCCTAATATCCTTGCTTTAGACTGGTGTGGGAGGGTTAGTGATGAATCACCATCTTCATTTTCGATTTGCTCACCCCAAGATAGACTTTCCCTTGGTGGTGGATTTGGATGGTTGAGTGGCCGACATGGCATGGTCGTTGACAACATCCG